AGCCTGTGGCGCAGGGGAGGGGGCAGCCTGTTGCTGGCAGCGGGCGTGGGGAGGCACTTTTCCTCTGCCTGGCAGCTCTGCGGGACCCCAGTCGGAGCCGGCCCGAGGAGGAGGAGGATCCTAGGACCCAGGTGAGCGAGCCCGGGAATGCTGCTGCGCATGTGCGGGAGTTGCCTCACCCCGTTCGTATCTAGGGATCCGACGTAAGTCGGATCCATGTAAGTCGGGGACTGCCTGTATATTAAAGAAGAAGGGAATTGTGCTACCGACCATGAAAGTCATCTCTTGCTGAGCACAGGAACTCCCAAGATGTCCAGTATCTCATTGAATTTACTAACAGACAATATATTAACTCTTCCATTGATTGCTAAGGGCTAAGATTCCGTAACACTTAAGTACCAACCATTCTCAGAAAAATAAATATCTTTGCTTAGTCTGCAGACATTTGAGGCTTAGAGAAGATATGTATGATGGATATTAAATCATTGGAACCTCTAGGATTGAGATTAAATTTTGCTAGCACAGCTGATTTTTGATATGCTAAAAATGTGAGAAGTTTTGAATGGGTCTGTTGGTGAAATCAGGGGCTCATCCTCGTTTGGTTCCTCCATCTTAGGGATATTGAAGAAAAATTGAATCTGGAAGTGTTAGAAGTAAATCACAAGAACAAACAGGGACTATGAGCTATATTCCTGGTTAAACAACCTGTGGAAAAGTCCACACTGTTAATAGGAGATGGAGAATGAGCCTTACAAACTAGGAGCCACAAACTGCAAATTGAAATGTCTGTTCACAGAGGTTGGCAATGAATGAATGTTTGCTAGTTTATTTAGAAGTTCAAATAACAAAACCTCAATGCCTTCCCAGCTCGGGGCCTCACAAGTCCAGAAACCCCTAACTTTACCTTTTCAGAATCCTGGAGTAGAGACAAAGGCCTAATGCCAATAAAGGGCATACCCTATTCCCCATGTCCTCAAGGGCCACTTCCTGGCGGTTCCCGTAGCAAGATTTTTCAGGGTGAGGGAGGCTACCAGATTAGGTTGACTGCTAACAAATTTAAGAATGACCTGACATTTCTGCCATATAGTTTGCTATCACATATGCTAATTTCTATCTCAGCTTTTCTGGAAAATTGTATTTCTAGTTTATATTTGTACATATAATTTAAAGTTGGGTGCAAGTTCATGCTATATTATTGTCTTTTCACTCACAAACAGTGAACAACATCTAACAACAATAACAATAACAGAACTTCAGTAAGTGCTTACCTGTAATTCTGCTTTTCATTTCCTATATGAAATCTGTCATATTGTGAATATGCCCGATTTCCTTCCCAGTCCATTAACTCAATTCTTAGAGAATACTGCCTCTGACTGGTTATTGCAAAGATAAACTCATTCCCCAGCCAATGTTCACCAGATGGGCTACCAAAACCCTAGAAAAAAAAATGGTAAATAATGGAATTTAATTATTTTTCTTAAAATATTTTTCACAAAATTGGTGTAATATTTATACTGTAATAAAATTATCATTACATTTTTCTTATATACTCTAAAGTCAAATTACGTAGCCAATTTACCAATCTTTTATTAACATACCTTGCAAGAACATTTTGTGGTTGCAAGAACATTAAGTTAGTTGATGTTTCCAGACACAAAATCACATTAAAGGACAAATTAATACATTATTTCCTTTGTCTGCTACTTAATATTAGGCAACTATAATATGCTTCAGATCAGCCTACCCTATGGATATTGAAAACAGAGATGATATTTTGAATCCTATTTATTAAGTGGTATAGTGAGCCTGCATGCACCTACATTTGGTATTGGCTTCCAAACTTTAATGTTCATCCAGCTGCTTTGAATCTATTAAGCCCTCGAAGGTTTGAGATCTGGTAGACTGCCTCTTTTGCCATAATGTATTATGTCAACTGAGACCAGCTGAGGAGCTTGAGGTAGAGCTTCCGCCTATAAATGAAAGACTGATGCTAAGCAGGCTGTTCTCTGAGCTGGTCCTTGGCTTTGGTACTCCGCCATACCACCCTTCACCCACCAGAGTCCAGATTTGGTAACTTCTAACGTTATGTTGGATGTCATCTTTTCTCAGACTTCTGGGATGGGGTTAAGATGTGAGTTTGGGTGCTATATTAATTAGCAATCCTTTTGCATTACTTTGTATTTCAATCTAAAGGCTGATGCTCGGGTCACAGCATGTGGCACTACAAATGTATTTTATAAATGAATAGCTAATAGATTAGAGGTTGTCAGTAGTAGTACTATACACCTTCCACATATTCAGATTACCTTATTTCTTGCTAACCTAAGTGAATATACAAAATATAAAAAAAAGAGAATAAGATGAATACTATAGTTAATTTTCCTAATTAATTTTTTGCTTCCTCCATCGGTGGCCCTTTCAGTAGCAGCTGGCAGGGGCTAGAGATATAAAAGGCCCCCCCCCTGCCACTACTGCAGCAGCAGTAGCTGGAGCCCCAGGCCCTTCTATTTGTCACTGGAGCCTTGGGGCTCCCAGCTACCACTGCTGCAGAGCCATGCTCCTGGCTGCCTGGGGGAGTCTGGTTCCCAGCCCTGCACATTCCAGGGGCCAAGAGCTGCATCCCGACCTTTCCCAGGAACCTAGCCTACCCCAAGCTGTGTACTGATAAACCCCAGGAGTAACTTTCACCCTGATTCAGATAATCACATGCTTGTCTCATGCTTATTCAAACCTCCTGAGTGAGGAAATGGAATTGGAACTCTAATGGCTCTCTCACAATGATATTCCAGGGAGGGTTTGTGAAAGACCCTAGTTAAAATTCTACCACCATATACGAAGGAGGGCTGGATGATTTTCTTGCCACTGATGAAGTCCACCCCCTACTGCTAAATTGTCCCTGCCAGAGATTATAACCCTGAGCTCATAAACACACTTCCAAAAAGCACAAATTTGTTTCTGGAATGAACCAGCCAACATCAAATTTCAGGTATTTTCACGGACCATTTTTCAAAGGAAATTGTTCTATTCTTAGCCCCGAGGTTTTCAATATAACTCCCATCCCCCCAAACTTCAAATGATGAATTGAACAACATGCTAACAGCAGACTCAGTATACTTTTCCAGAAAGAGTATTTATTTCAAAAGGAAGAAGCATGAATAGATTTCCCTTATACTGGGCATTCATAATTGACTGAAGGGAAGCAATTTTGTGGGAGATTTTTTTCTGCAATATTGGCAGCAAATCATAGTGCTCTGAACGATATTTTACTCAT